CATGTGTCAGCACATCCATGCCACCACTAACTAATATAGGGTATGGTGAGCCATGGATGTTCCAATCCACAGATGACTAGCCCACCAATATGGCAGGCCCACTATAGTAAAATTGCAATCTTGCATCTAGTTTTCTACCGGTACTCCCCACTGAACTCAATGGGACTTCTCAGCAATCACATACAGGATTGCACCATCATTTTATTTGTCTCAAACTCAGATGCTACCATCACCATGCCAAATTAACCCTAGAATATCCCATGAGGCACAGGAAAGGAAATCAACTATAGTTTAGGCTTATAGAAATATAACACCACCAGTGAACTTGGAAAACAGAACAGCCTTGATTATGCTAATTTGAATCTCTCTGTGATTATGCCCTCAGCTGAACACAGAAAGCTAAACTACTTGGTCATAAATGTCAGAGGCAAGGAACCCCTGTAACCTGCCAAATACCACTGCTAACTCCCCTCAGTCCCAGTAGCCTGTGGACAGGGATGATGGACATGAGTGTACCACCCCTGTCTACTCTGACTGGAAGTGGTTCCTTGGGTTTCCCATTCCATCATCTGCTAATGCGGCGGACAAAAGGAACTGAAGGGGGCAGTACCGACGGAGGCCCTTCATAGGGATGGGCGGCACTACCGCCAAAAAGTTGCAACTTTAAAGTCTGCCTAGTATTCCAGAAGGATCCAAAGTTGCTGCGCATGCATTACCCATTTGTGTGATTCGCAGAGACCATGAAGAAGAAGCAGAGTAGCCAGTTACAGGGAGGATATAATTCCCTTGTTGAAACAGCTTCACTGGCTAACGGTTCATTTCTGGGCACAATTCAAAGTGCTGGTCATAACCTATAAAGCTCTATACAGCTTAGGTCCAGACTATTTGAGAGACCGTATCTCCCCATACGAACCAGCCAGAGCCCTAAGATCTTCAGGAGGCTTTCTTTCAGTCCTGCCAAGATCACAGGCTCACTTGTTTAGGACATGAGAGGGAGCCTTCTCAGTGGATGCTCCCTCCCACCATCCAGAACTACAGGAGGCTAGGCTGGCCCCTTCTCTGCTTGCTTTTTGTCGGCAAACCAAGACATTTTTATTTAAGCATGCATTTGATATATAATTAATATCAGTGTGGTTTTTATGGAGCAGGTGGGTTTTAATTATGCTTTTAACTTTTGGATATGTTTATGTGATTTTATATTCTTGTAGATTATTTTAATTGTTTTGAATTTTATTGAGATTTTTTAGCATTTTATCTGTGAGCCGCCTTGAGTCCCTCCTGGGAGAAAGACTGCATACAAATTAAATAAATAAATAAATAAAGGCTGAGAAATTAATCTGGGACCCTCTGTGGGGAAAGCACAGGCTCAATCACCAGCTCCAAATTCCTCTTCAATCACACCCAAAACAGCATACGACAAGTTAAAAAATCCAATTCTAGAGCGACTCAATTGGCATACAGAATTAAAGATGCCCCTCCATAAAGTTTAGAAAAGTGACTTCTTTTGACTGAAATGCCCAGAATCCCACAATCAGATACTCCAAAGGGTACTATTTACAAGCTTCGCCACTCCCCCACCAACACCTGCTGTTCACCCACAACCAACCTTTGCTGGTTGAGACAGTGAATGACTGGTCGAGGTCATCAACGGAGGCCTGCAGAGACAAGAAAACACAGGGGTTCTGACAATCCCCAAAATATTTCTTCAAAAACCTACATCATTTAAAACTCATTTTGCTATAGAGTAAGAAGCTGCACAAAAATGATCAGGTAATGCCAAGAGATGCAGCAATTAGAAATGAGACCCAGCAAATTATAGGACTGGGATGGGAGTTAATGCCTACCTGCTCCTCTGGGTCACTTTCTGCATCACACTGCAAAGAGAGAAAGAGAAGAAAGTCAATTGATGCAGCAAACTGGGTATTCTCCTTGATGAACCTCCACCAACTGATACTAGTCTATAATAGGCTCTGTATAGTAGGTTATGACAGCAGGAGGCTTGGTGGAGAGTGTGGAGGGAGATTTTTTATGGCACAACAGTAGCTAGGCCATGTTGTGGCCAGTACTAATGCATATATACCAGGGATGAGTAATCATCCAGCACTCATTATGTATGTAACCATACCTTGAGGCCTTAAAAGGGAACAGAAGCAAATTTAAATACATTATGCAGACTGATGCTGTTTCAAAGGAGCTTAACCCTCTCTATAGAGAAATAGTGGAGCAGATTTTCTGCCTTCTAGCTGTTCAACAGTCTAGGATTTTCCTTGACCATGCACTGAGATTTTCCAGATTTCCTAGTTTTTCTGGAGAAGGTACCTGCAACACAACTAACATCCCTCCTTCAGCTTGAAGAGAAAGGATGGGAAAGGGTTCACTGCTGGAAGTACAGTGGGCCCTTGGGATCTGCTGGGGTTTGGTTGCAGGACCATCCATGGATACCAAAATCTATGGATGCTCAAATCATACTATATACAATGGCATAGTAAAATAGTGTCTCTTATATAAAATGACAAAATTAAGGTTTGCTTTTTGAATTTTTTAAAAAATATTTTCAAGCCATGGATGGTTGAACCAGTGGATTAAAAAATCAACAGAAGGCCAACTGTAACTGAAATTCTGCCCTGTGGAACAGCATGATGCCAGAACTAGCTGCTTGGGAAAGCAATAGTTATAAGAGATTGGATGAGATATAGGTGAAGAATGTACGTATGTTGCTCACTTACTATATATCCAGTTTCCAAGTAGGACTGGAGAGAAGGCTGTTTATTTTTTTTTAAAAAAGCAAGGAAATAAAATAAAATAACAATTAGACACAGATTAGATTACAAGAAACAAATGTGGGGGGAGGGGTTGTTTAATATCAAAGATTTAAACACAAAAAGGATACGACACAAAGCACCCCTTTTTTTAAAGGTGATGTTAAAATCAGCAGTGGTGACAAAAAAAAATACCATGCTAGCTTTAGAAACATGTGCTGTGTATTCTAAAAATCAGGGATGACCCTGTTTGTGGCTATCTGGCATAACCTACAAAGGTAAAACCCTGCACCCTCAGGAATCAACTGCTTCATCTTTTGATCTAAATCAGGAGTGGGCAACTTGTGTCCCTCCAGATGTTACTGGACTGAAATTTTCATCAGTCCTCACTATTAGCACTAGGGCTAACATGAACTGTAATGCAAGAACATTTGGAAGCTACAGGTTGCTATAAAGCAGCTGTCTCCAACCTGGTGTCTCCTAGATGTACTGGACTACACATCCTGTTCAAGAACAAAGATTCTTCAGAAACAAATTACAGTGTGAATTCTCGAATAATTCAATTCTATCTTTTGTGCTCCCCCATTGTAAACACTTGGTTTATGTAAACAGCTTGGTGATGTATGCATCTGATCCTTGGACATTACTGTTGACATTCCTTGCAGGGCAAAGTGCAGAAAAATGAGTGGGCTGCTGCTTCACTGCTCCCTCTCCAGATTCTTCTTGGACCACATTCTTTCCTACACCTCCATTTCCTTCCTTCCATTCCACTTCCTTATCCCAAGGCCTTACCTCTTCGTGCCGCCTCTTGCTACGTTTTCTTATCGCCCGTTCCCCTCCACAGCTGCGGCTGCGTCCCTTCTCTGAACTCCCATCTTCATCTTCTGGCTCAGAGTTGTTTCCCTCACCCCGTTTTCTCTTCCCAGAATGTTTCATTCGAAGCTCCAACCGCTCTGGGGTCTTCAAGGTTGCATCCTTCTGTGAGTGGACAACAGGGTTTGGATCAAATAAAACTATGATGAGAGTAGACGAGAGTGAGCAACTTCAGCAGGTCTGATGGCCAATTGTCTACCCCAGCACCAACTCAGGACCACAAAGACTGACAAAACTGCAAAATGACAACTATCACTACCACTATTGGAAGCATTTAGAAATCCACAAAAACAAGTTTATTTTGTTTTTTATGTTAAGGGGGGCTGTGGTCCATTTAAAAGATGAGCTTCCTGGAGAAACGACTTGCCTTTTTTAACCCCAAAAAGGTTAATCTGGGAGAGCCAGGAGCCACTAAAATAACCATCGAAAGGCAGCATTTTGTCCAGCCTGTCATAGACAACCCATCATTATAATGCAGGGCTGGGCAAAGAGCTGCACAAAGGTTGCAAGTGACCCCAAGGTCTTTTTTGCACACACGCTCTTGATGTCACTTTGTGTGTTTTAGAAGAACTGAAGGGTTAATCTTTGGGAGATATCAAAACAACCTTTTTTTTCAAAATCAGAAGGAAAAAGAAATATATACTGATTACCTATCAGTACCAAACTATTTCTTTACTTTGGAGTTAGAAAACAAGATGTAATATCTGATGGGATCCACACTTGATCATTCTAATAAGCAGACCTACTGAAATCAACTGAATATTCTAATTAGGCAGTTCAATCCGTTTGCTGCTGATATTCAACAGAATATTGCTAGTGCATAATAGTCAATGGGAAAAGAAACTAAATGCACTGCAATCAATGGGATAGTCAATATCACATTCAATAGACAATACCATGCAGCAAGCACTTGGTATCTACTGGGGTTTGGTTCCAGGAAGTCCTATTAAGTACAAGGGAGTAGTAAAATGGTGCCCTTTATACAAAATCGAAAAACCAAGGTTTGCATTTTGAATCTTTTTTAAAAAAAATTCAAGCCGTGCATGGCTAAATCCATGGATGGAGAATCATGGATATGGAGGGTCAACTGTATTGAAGTCAAACATACAGTAGATCCTTGGTATCCACTGGGGTTTGATTCCAGGACACAGACTCCCCCAGTGGACATCAAAATTCATGGATGCTCAAGTCCCATTAAATACAATGGCATAGTAAAATGGTGTCTGTCACATAAAATGAAAAAAAATGTAAGGTTTGCTTTTTGGAATTTATATATTTTTTAAAATATTTCCAAGGCAAGGATGGTTGAATCCATGGAGAAATAATCTATGGATCTGGAGGGCCAACTGTATTTAAACATATTTAAGAGCCAGTGTGGCATAGTGGTTTGAATGTTAGACTATAATTCTGAAGACTGTGATTCCATTCCCCACTTGGCCATGAAACCTACTGGGTGACCTTGGGTAAGTCACATGCTCTCAGCCTCGGGGGAAGGCAATGGCAAACCTCCTCAGAACAAATCTTGCCAAGAAAACCCCATGACAGGTTCACCTTATGGTTGCTATTAAGTCAGAACTGACATGAAGGTACCCAGCAAGTAGAAAATTTATTTATCCAGAAATACAAAGTTAATAATAATAAATGAAGTATGCATGGTGTGGATTTGTTTTATTATTATTATTATTATATTTATAGCCCGCCCCTCTGCTAGGCAATCGGGGCGGGTTACAGCATGATTAAAACATGTTAAAACAACCAATCCCTGTACACTAACCTTCCCACCCCTTAAAACTAGATTAATAATGAGTAGTGAGGAGTTTTGTTAATTATTAAATTAATCTTTCCAAGTACTAATCAATCATGTATGAATGGAGGTATTTTGTTTGGAATTTAAATAGAAATAAAATAAAATAAAAAAGGTAAAGTTACACAATGTCTCTCTTCATATCGGTTATAAAATCTTCTAAACTTAGCCCCCTCCCCTTGAGCCATAATCTTTATGCGTGGGACCCTCAAGCACTCAACCATCTGAAAAGTGGACCTCAGCCTCACAGAAGAGACCTACCCCTGTTAGAATGAAACATTCCCAAAGCCATTTCTGAATGATGCTGTGATGCAGCTGCATTGGCAGGGGTGTGGATAGTGCGGCCCTTGAGCCACATTCAGCCTGCCAACCCACTCCCTGTCACTCACTCACATGCACACACAGCTGCAAAATGAAAATCACATCCCCAGACATTTCTAGGGGCATAACTTCCTATTTTAAAGCCACTGAAGTTGAAGAGTTAACCTTTGGGAGATATCAAACAACCTTCCCCCCCCCAAAAAAAAAAATCAGAAGGAGGAAGATATGTATACTGATTACCTATTTGTATATTGATTACTTAAATGTATACTGATTACCTATTTCAATGGTTTGTTTACTTGGGATTCAAATACAACATGTAATATCTGGCAGGATCCACACTTGGTTGTACTTATGAGCAGATCTACTGAAATCAATTAGACTATTCTAATTAGGACAAAATCTAGATCCAGAAATCTTCTTGGCATTATTGAATATGGTTGACAAATACAATTTTTTTAAAAAAATGGAGAGATTAAACTATACATCCCATTCAGGAAACCTAGTCTGGCATATCACTGGTCTTGGAGAGAATTATGCTCTAAATTTCTTCTCAGCTACCACATTTATATGGCACTAACCCTTCGGCTACTTAAGTTTCCCTTACCTTCAAGTTATATGCTTTTCCCCAGCCTGGTGGCCTCTAGATGTGTTGGAAGTATTACCACCATCAAATTCAGCCTACCTCAAGTACTTAGAAATAAGGATAGGATATATGGGTAGGATCATAACATAAAGTATACAATAATATTGCAGCAATACTTTCAGACATGCACTGTTATTACACTGTATTATTTTAATGTTGTGAACCGCCTGGATTGGGTCACCAATGGGCAGTATATAAATAAATTTTTTTATTATTATTATTATTATTATTATTTCACTTTAACAGCTATGGCTGCATCCTGTGGAATTCTGGGGTTTGTAATCTGATGAGGCACTAGAACTCTCTAGTTGAGAATTCTAAATGCTGCTCCCTAAACTGAAAAACCCAGGATTCAATGCAATATTGCCTTTGATACAATTCAACACAATATATTCCAATAAAAGTGAAATAGCAGTGATATACTCTTAACAACCAGATAAGTACAGTGGGGTAGATTGTGAGAAAAGCATAGCACTTAGGATCAGTGGCATCACTAGGGTTGGTGTCACCCAGTGAGGTAACTCATGGTGTCACCCCCCCCACACACAAACTGATCTTCTCCCATACCACACCATATAGAATCCTTAGTAATATTTTTGTACTAATTTACTTACTTATAAATAATTCCCATATATCACCTAATGTAATGCTAATAGTTGTGAAACAAACAACTAGCAAAATTAAATTTATACCTTTAAATTATGATATCATACACACAGAATAAATGTGTTTACATATACATAGTTTCAGACTGTTAAAGTGAAAATTTGGTAAAATGTGGTGTTTACAAAGAATTTTTAATTAAAAAAATTAAAAATTAAAAATAAATTTGAAATATTAATTAAAAAAAAA